ATGCCTTCGATCTTCTATCCGCATGCATCCATGACTTATCCATCTCACACTCTATAAAATTCATATAAATATATATATATATATATATATATTAAAGTGGAAAGACCATCAATGAAACACTACCTCATTTAAATAGCAGAGAACAAATTGAAAATAAAATATAAAACATGAACAAGACGACGATTTTTACAAAATAATCGTCGTTTAATATAAATTCAGACGACGGCATCTATAGTCACCGTTGTCATTAAGATACCCAAACCCAGAAATTTATACGGGATTTTGGTAGCCTAAAGACGACGTTTAATGGAGAAACAGTCATCTTTAGGCTACTAGTTGCGGCTTAAAACGCAGACGACGGGAGTAAATGAACAACCGACGTATAATAAACGTTTGGATGACGGTTTGATCTGTCAACTGTGGTCGTAGTTAAAAAAAAAAACAGCTTCAATTTCCCATCCCCATTTATTTTCCAAGAACCCAAATAGAGAGTAATTATTACAAGAATGCAAACACCAAAACATAAAAGAACCCTAATATAGCTACCAATTAAGAACCCATAGCTACCAACGAAAACATTTATGGATTTAAGAAGAGATTAGCGTTAAAGGGACTATGGTTGTACTTACATAGAGATTGAGAGAGAGCTGATACCCAATGCTTTGAGAGAGAGCTGAGAGAATATAACAAAAGCTACCAATTAAGAACCCATAGCTACCAACGAAAACATTTATGGATTTAAGAAGAGATTAGCGTTAAAGGGACTATGGTTGTACTTACATAGAGATTGAGAGAGAGCTGAGACAATATAACAACTGCTTGAGAGAGAGCGAAAACTTTAAGACAAATTTATGTTGAAGAGTGAGATTCTGAAAATTTTAGGTCGCGGTCAAAAATTTTAAAGTTGCGCGTTTTTCAACGACGACGATCAATACTTATATGGACGTCCAATTCTTACTTACGACGACGGTTTCTACACAAGACCGACGTTGTAAACATAACGTACGTCGCTATTTAATAACCGACGTCGTATCCCCAATTCAATTATTCTTGGTTTATGTAGTTGACCAAAAACAGCGGGAGAAAACCGGCGTCGTTTCATAAAACCCTAAACCCAAACCCTAAACCCTAAACCCTAAATTTTACAATAATTTTAAAAAAATAGACAAGTATGAGAAAAATGAACCGAAAATTGCTATGGACTCCTTACAACAATGCCTTCTACAATAGTAGGTTAAAATATGGATTTCATAATTTTGAATTTATGGGCACCAATGGATCACGTAAACTTTAGGGTTATGTTATGTAAAGTATAAGGAGTACCGTGCTTTGTCTCTAAATTTGTTTGAATTTTGTTATCATTTGAACTTTGAAAACTAAAATTACATTTTTCAGGCCTTAACGGGCAAGATATTGTCTCAATGAGTGCATAGAATTTGTCGGTATATTTTTCGGATTTTGCTTTGAATATATTATTAATATTAGTAATTAAATACAATAAAAAAAAAATTCTAAAATTATATTTTTTAAAGCTTTAGGATAGAGACAATATTTCAATGAGTGCTTGGTAGTTTTCAGTTTAATTTTTGGATTTAGTTTTGAATTTAATATGGAATTAAATAAAATATAAAAGTCATTAAAAATTAAATGAAAAATGACCTCTCCGACGTTGTATCATTTTACAACGACGTTAAACATCACAAACTGACGTCACATAATTTTTAGACGTCGAAACGAATAGAAAACGACGTGGATTATTGTATTACCACGTCATCTTATTTTATATCACCGATGTTGTTTATATATACAACGTCAAATTTTTAATAATAACCGCCTTTGTATATTATTAAGACGTCGATATGGTTATACTAATCGATGTAGTATATCGGTACAAAATTCATCTGTACAAGATGAATTAATTATAAACCGTCGTGTTTATGACTATTACATGTCGTTTTTAAGAATTGCCGTCGATGTTATATTTCCAGTTACAGCAAGACAACCATTGTGTACACATATGAGACGTGTAAATTAGAATCAGACGTCGGTTTTTGGGAACTAAACAAGTTTTTATAAAAAAAATTAATTTTTTTGATGGTTGTTCGATTGATTACAAGAAAAATATTTATGTACATTTTAAATAAACTAAAATAAACCTAAACATTGTTCATAAATATTTATGTACATCAATTATCCTTCGGTAATAAGTTGTTCACGAATTCTGCTCATTCATGCCTAACTTCGTCAATATCCTCTTGTTTATACTGAACTTTATCTTTTTTCTTTTCAAACTGCAAAATAAACCAAAAAATCGACGTGTTATAAAGATACAAACGACGGTTTAAAAAAAAAATTTGACGTAGTAAAATAAAGAAAGTATATCTAAAATTTTGCGTTTTACCTTCTTCTCGAAATTTAGGTCAGGATCATGAATTATATCTCTCATGAATCGCATCACGTAATAGCCACACTCTACACTTGTTGGTTGTTCAGGAGTGCCGTGTAGATTTTTCCAAATAGCCTGCTGTTTACGTGAATTTTTGTTTATATGAATGTTAAACATTTTAATTGACCCGTTACAAGAAAACAAAGGGTATTAATGACAAAACAAAAAATTTAAATACAAATAGTAACCGTCGTGGTAAATCAGTCAAAACGACGGAGTTTTTAAAAAAATGACGTGATATTTTGTTTCAAACGGTGGTAAAAAATTAACATCGTTGTGTAACATTATAACGTCGGTAAGAGGAAAACGTCGTATAACAAAAAATTGAACAGAAAAAATTAAAACGTTCTTAAATAAAACCCAAACGACGTGGTAGTTAAATTAACACGACATTTTTAGGACAATACGAATGTAATAAATTATTTAACACGTCGGTAATAACTTACCGTCGTTATTATTAAAAACCGTCGTATATTCAAATACTCTAAAGGAAAAAAATCTTAGATCAGAAGAAATCAACTTACGTATTCACTATACTTTTCATGTCGTCGTCAACTAAGCGTTTTTGGCAGTGAATTCATGTAATAGGCAGTCTCTGTTGCTGGTCTCACAATTACCATCACCCAATGATCCCTACACATAATGATCCATATAGGTTAAATAGTACTACAATGAAAAATATTACAAGCTTAGGAAAATACTTTAAATACTAACCCTGGATTATAAGGGACCAAGAAAAATTGATTCCCATCTGCTGTTTTCAAGCGGTTTGACAGATGTTTTGTTCTGTCTGATAGTGATCCAGATTGAGAGCTGACTAGCCCAGGGTCCACGAGGCCAACAAGGTTTACCATATTTGCCATTTTTAAATAGTCAAATAGGAACCTAAATATATGAAAGTAAATTAAATGAGATTTTAATTTAAAAGAAAGGGAAATGTAAAACAAAATGGGATTTCTAGATTTACCTCATGTATACTGATATCACTGTGGTTCCAATCTCAACCATGGAACCAAACTGCAAAATATCATCAGGTAAGAGGAATGTATCATGTTCAAAGCCAAACACTTCCTTGGGCATGTGAACTGTTACAGCCTCGTTAGTAGGCAACAACTTGGTCTGGACATGTTGGCATAAGGCTAACAGAGGAGGTGGCATGTCTAGCTTTGAGAGATCTTGTTATAAGAAATAAATAAAGAAATATAAGTTAGTTTGTGTGTGAACTAAGATAAACGACTCTAACTAAACCCAAAAAACAGACATGGTATATAATATAAACGACGGTTTCTAGTAAATACTGATGGAGGAAAGGTTATAGACGTCGGTAAATACATAACCGTCGTAGTGTGCAATTTATAACGTCGCTATACTAAAGAAAGGTCGTCTAATTAAAATGCAGTTCATGCTATCATGAAATAGACGACGGTTTATAAAAGAGTTAGACGACGGCAAAAAACACAGTCGTTATTTTTAATGTCCAATAATTTGCAAAACAAGTAAAAGCGTCGTGGTATTTAACTCAACACGACGCTTCCCTGAAGAAACATAGAGAGTTTCAACTGCATCACAGAATCTGACCAAGCTCTCTAGAGTAGTGGACTTCCCCATCCTAGCAATCTCATCTACCTGATCAGCCCCGAGAATTTGATCCTAAATTCTTATCTGAAATTTGAAATTTAAATTTTATAATAAATATCGACACGTGGCAATTGAGAATCTTATCTGAAAATTTTATCCGAAAAATTCATTCGAATTATGAGATAATAATTTTATAATAAATATTGACACATGGGAACCGAAAATCTTTTCCGAAAATATTCTCCAAATTAATTGTTTAGGTAAAAAAAAAAAATTACGAAATGTGAATAGTATTTGCCCTTTGCCATAGCAATGGATAGAAACACACCTTAATTTTTACAATGGCTGCCACTATTCATGTGAATAGTATCTGCCCTTGCCTCTCATTGCCCTTTGCCATGGCAAATAGGTGGAAGTGCTCTAAATATATCAATTTATATATAAACCAAAATCCTGAGTGTCTCCTTTCATGCTACTATGCCATCATGACTTAACTAATTTAAAAGAGTTCTCTCTGTACCAACTAAACCGACTTCTCTATCCAAATTATTAACCCGAAAACTGACACCATAAGCAGCAACTTCCTAAACATATCACTTTCTAAGATAGCTCTTAGAAATTTAAGAACTTGCACACTTACATATAACAAGCAAAATGCTATAGACCTGTTTTTTTTTTCTTGGTCAGAAATGCTATAGACCTCAGACCTCACGACGAGCAGACGAGAAGACATAATAATGAAAACTGACACAGTAAATTGAATAGAATAGAATTTTATTTTCTTTAAACTTAGAAAGATATTGGTGAACCAAAAATTAATTCAAAACATTCACAGAATAAGAAAAAAATACAATAATCATTTGAGCAAATAAAATAAAGGTTGAAAGTAAATACCTGATTTTCCGAAACCACCCATTCCAAAAATCTTGTGCGCCCTGACGCAAATATATCTTCGATGAACGGTAGTTGGAGGTTCTTAGTTGCAGATATAACAGCAAATCCCTTTGAAATGGTAAACATGATCACTCCAAATATGATGATCGATCCTCCCAACCCAAAGAATCTTTTCTGACCCACTGAAATTGATAAAACAAATATGAAATCAGTATTTTTATCTTCCTTTTGGTCATAAATGTTGCTGTCAAACTAAAAATTAAAGAAAAAATTACCTGACTTTTCTTTCTCTGGACTTTTCTTTCTCTGTTTATACTTCGGCCGCTTGATGTATGTATGAGGCTGAGGTGAAGCCTATTTTTCCTTTCTAATTTTATGGGCAAAAAGATCACCAAAGAATTAGAGAGTTCTAAGTCGATGATGAAAACTGATGTGTGTAAAATATGTGGCTCTCTGTTTATATAGCAGAGGTTGTGTGACTTTATTTTTTTTGTTTTTCTATTTCTTTTCTTTTTGAACTTTAGAAACTCTATAGTGATTAGGTAGTCACGTGCACTCTGCAAACTACCTCTCTCATATTCATATTCCAATGGATGGATAGACACAAGACTATTTTCACTTCGTTATCTGTCAGTTACTTTTTTATTTTTAGTCTGAAGAACTAATGCCCTTGCTGAAACCCAATGGTAGGTAGCAATTCAAATGCTACACCCAAAGACATGCACCAGTCTCTAGGCTTGGCTTTTACCAAAAAGTTGTAAACACCAGTCAATTAACAATCACTTTTTCAATCCTGCTCTGTTGGTAAGATTTGGAAAAAGATTCTGTAACGTTAAAAGCAGAGACAATTCACTTTGAAACGTCAAAAGAAACAAACTCGCTTGAGATCTGAAACATGCAAAAGCCAAAATTGATGCAACTGAGTGAGAATCAGTATAGTGTTGAAACAACTGGGCTTCGACAAATGGGCCAATATTATTAACCAAAACAACCAGCAACCAAACCACCCAAACTCCAATTATATATCTTCTAAAAGAGTAATGCTATTTATTTTTTATTTTTAGTGTGGAAGACCTCTGACTATATACAAATGTGAAAGACCTCTGACTATTGGTGTTGAAATTGTATATTTATTTATTTTTAGTTTAAAATATTAGGCTATATATATGTTTAATTTGTTTTTTTTCCCAAACCTTCCCTGGCTATAGCCAAGGGTAGCCCTTGCACTGGTTCCGCCCTTGCTGGTGGGCATGTGGGTTGAGCTTTGATGGGCAAGCCGGGTTGGGGTTCCATAGGCTCAACCGAGTTGAGCTTATGAGTCGGGCTGGGTTTTAGACACCTTAACCTAAGCCTAGCCCACTAAAAGATGGGCCTGGCTTTTCCTCAATGGGCTAGGCGAGCCCCCATCGGTCCATGGGCTTGTGGGCCAAATGATGACCCCTAATTGAATGAAGGTAACAAAATAGTGTCATCCCCGTCACATGCAACTTCTTCTTTAATTTCTTAGGCCTCTCCATTTTAGCATGAAAAACCACAATTACAAGACAAGATTATTGTACGCATAAAAAAAACATTACAAGATAAGGGTAGACATAGTAAACAAAAACAACTTTCTCGCACTAGATGTCCTTTTTGGTCAATAGAAAGGCGAGAAGAACCTGTTCAAGTTGAATTGTCGTGCAATTGAGTCATTCTCTATTACAGTGCCCATAATTCATATTATCATGGAATGGATACTTTTGTCAAAACCCTAATATGAATTTTCCACTTATATGATTACATTGGTTATATCTGGAAATTTCCTTTCTCATCATATCTACTATGCAGAGATTCCCTCAATCATATCTTTAGAGCATTCCTTACTAAGAGTATAGATCCTTTGTTGTATATTCACTTGCCTCTGTGAACTTATCGAGAATCCTGAAGACCACCTTTTGAATCATATATGTTGACACGAATGTATAGGGATTTCGAAGACAGACGACTTGCCCACAAGACAACTACGATGTCTCAGGTCTGAGAACTAGTTTGCACTATTGCAGCTTATGAGTTTTAGTTTGACCTGGGAGCAAGACCCTCATCCTAGAATTCGTGGTTTGATCATGTTCAATTTTCTTATCTCTCTAAGAACCTACACACTTATCTTAGTTTCTCTACACGCAATGACTTGAGACTAGTCATTCTCCCAATCGAGCGGATATATTGTGTACCACTCTTTGCGGATGATCAATGCCCAATTAGTAACCCTATGACTAGGAACGTTTAGGAAATAATGTGGAAGTATGATAGGTCTCCTTATATAAAATCTTTTACTGTTATAATTATAGACCAAATATCATGGTTGAAAACAACAATCTTGCCCATAAGTGATGGTGAAATATCCAAAAAGTAATATCACATGTTTGAATTTAGGGCATATTTTCAACATTATAGTTATCATGTGTTAATTATTGGGCTTGTTTTCGAACATTGCTTAACCATGCTAATATTTTATGAGTTGAATATACATGTTTATCATGTGCATAATTTTAACATTTTATACTTCTATATATAGTAAATAATTATTTAATTTACTTTCAAATATGTTCAGGGCATCCCCTTGATGCGGCCTTACTACTTGTCAATATTAGAAATATGCCTTAGAAGCCAATACGAAAATGAAACTTCTAAGGACATAACACTTCGCAAATAGAAAAGTCACTTTAGGAAACTTATGCATAACCAATAAAGTGACAAGTCTATGGATTACGATACAAATAGAAACCAATCCAAAGATGTTAGATTCACAAGAATTTTCCATTATGATGTATTTGATCCTAAAATGTTCCTAGTCATAGGATTACTAATTAGGAATTGATGATCTGCAAAGACTGGTACACACTGTGTCTGCTCAATCAGGAGAATTACTAGTCTCAAATCATTTGTGTAGAAACATTGAGATAAGTGTGTCAATAAAGATAGAGTTCATTGAACTCGTCAATTAAGAATTCTTGTATGGAAGTTTTACTCACAAGTGTCAAACAAGTAATTCCAAGTTGCGATAATGCAAATTAGTCCTCAGTCCTCAAACCTAAGAACACTATACGGTCGTATTCAAAGATGTGGCTCGAAGGTGATCATCGAGATATTCAATAAGCTCACAGAGACATGTGAATGTACAACAATAAATCTTTGGCCAAAGTATCAGATATGATTGCAAAAGGGAAGTGTGCAATCTCATCCACGTGAATTATATAACCTAGAAATGTCACATTAGGGATTTGACACAAGTTATATGTATCCCAATAATGTGACATAGAGTATTGTTTTAGAGAATGGCCGGATTGCATTGCAATTACAATTGAATAGGTTCTCCAATGAATTCTATTTAGCTTGTGTAGTCATAACATACTAATAGGTGCCAGTCATGGTTTGTGGAAGTCCTGTAAGGTCTAATTACAATTAGCCTTCATGCTCAGTTCAGGAGGAATCAGACTTATCCACTATCTTGCTAGTTAGAACCTAAAAGATCGCACACCACAAAAGGAATGGATTGAGAAATAAAAGAGAGAAAGATTTTACGCATTTGTCAAAGTCAAAGTCAAGGTCAAAGTCAAAGGTCAACCGTGGACCCGACACTTGACATGACCAATGAGAATTGATCGGAACCAATACTTGTAAGGCAAGGTTATGACTTAATGGATTAAGTCATTAAATTAATGAGAATAGTTTAATTAAACAATTAAAGTTATAGAAATTAGTTGGGTCCCACATGACTTAAAGAATAAAGAAATGACCCATATGACTTTGGATTTGTTTGACACATTAGAGGTTAGTGGCATATTCACTAATCCATAATCGGAATCAAAATAAGGTGTTGAATTCCTATTACGGATATTCGTGTGATACTTCACATGAAGGAATCAAAATGCTAGTAGGACCCACACAAAATTAGGAATTCAACTCCTGATTTTGGATGAACTGGACTCTTGGATGGGATGTGGTATTCTAATTCTTAGAGAACTAACCCATTAGGAATCCATCCTTTTTACCCATTATATCCTCACTCAATTTTAAAATTTTCAAATTTACCATATACTTTAACCCAATAACGGGGTCATTTTAATAATCAATTTGGTTTCAATTCCTATTCATATGAATTTAATAAACAACTTATAAGGATTAGTACCACTCCTACCCTAATTTCATATGATTTAGTAAACAATTTCAAAAGGAATCTGGAATCTAAATCTCTCCTCAATCCAACTTCTCCTCAATTCAATTATTCATAATCTGATTACGAATTAAGATACATGTCATAAATGTGTTGGACCCAAGAGGCCCAAAATTAGGCCACCAAAGGGAGGGTGCAGCACACATGTGGGTTAAGTTCACATTGGTACATTGTGGATCTATTTATAAGATGTCATAGCACCATTTTATGTTAGGGTTTTCAAGTTGAAAATTTGGAAGAGAGGAAACATCAAGCCTCTCTCTCAAGCATCACCTTGGTAGGCCACTTAGGAAGCACTAGTACTCTTGTGCTCTCCCAAGTTCTCTTTCTCTCGTCTCCATCCATCCTTGGTGAAGAGCTTTAGTGAGGTACATATCTTTGTACCTATTGGAGAGTCATTGTGGAGGAATAAGTAAGGAGAGATCAAATCCTTTACTTGAATACCTTTCTATGTTTCAAGATTCGCTCTAAGGGTAATATACCTCTACTCTCTCTCTATATAGTAGATTTAGAGAGTCTTTGGTGCAACCAGGGGCGGAGCCACACTGGGACCAGTGTGGTCACGGGCCCCCACTCAATTTTTTAATATTTTAAAAGTAATATACTGTTATGTATTTGTATATATATATTATTTCAAATACTTTACGTTTTGATATGTACCCACATGTGTTGTGGAGGACCTATGAAGGCATAATGAGGTGCTTCAAATTTCCCATTTGCTCAGCTGGTAGTGGTGCACTCCAAGTATACAGATTACCTTATTTCCATTTTCAACATTTAAGTAAATGTCTTTCTCCTTTTACTTTAATTTTTTTTTTATATTACTCCATTTACTTAAATTTACAATGTAAATAAGGAAGTACCCCCTATTTGGATTCAAATAAAAATACTAGAAAATCAAATTCCTACCAAATCAAAATATGAAAAATCGGTTGTAGTGCAAAATACGATTTAGGCTAAAAATGATGGCTCATTAAGTCAATATATACTTCATACTAAAATCCCATAAAATCAAGTTTTCTTATTTGATGTGTAAGGAATAAAAGCCGCCAAAAATTATCTTGAGAAAATGATTATTCCGAAAAACTATTTTTCATACTTAGTCAATATTTTTACATAAAATATTTTTTCATGTATGATATGAGTGCATGAAGGGACCTAAGGTTTTTTTTAGTTTGTGAAATTTTGATTTTTTTTCTTTCTATTGGGTTTAATGGGGGGAAAAGCTTTAAAGATATTTGCTAAATCGCTACTATT